AAAAAAAAAAGCAAAAACAAAAACAGATTGGGGAAGAGTTCAATATTCAGAGAGACTGCAGAGATGTAAAAACCAAATGTAATGTGTGAACCTTGATTGTTGAACCTGAGTTGGGGGGTTGGGGTCACAAAAGACATTCTTGGAATAATTGAGGAAATCTCTCAGGTGTGTTAAAAATACTTTTATTTGAGAAGGTTAAAAAAAGGCAGAAGGTAATCTTTTGAAGGGAAAAAGAATGAAGAAAACTAAGATGTATTGTTATTCACTCAGTGTGCTGCTGTCAGGAGTGTTGGGAGCAGGTGTCTGTGCGCTTTGCTCCTTAGTGGCCTGCTCAGGGGTGTGTGTGGTGAGTGGCCCAGGCACCAAGGGTAGACCTGTGCTCTGAGCAATAGTGTAATTTCAGCTGTTTATCATCCCCCTCCACTGTATCTGAGGTGGGGATCATTTATACCTGTTGAGAAAGCAGAGAAGTTGACTGTAACTATTGGTCGTCTATCCTGTTTTCAGGAGGAATGGGCCCCATGGCTGCAAAATCAGAGATGTGTGTAGGGGGTAGGGTGGGGGAGAGAGCAGTGCATGGAGGGAGAGTTTAGTCAGGGGATGGAAAGGTAAAGAGGTCAGGGCCAGGGAAGGAAGGCACAAGACAGGGTCAGCCTGGGAGGCTGGGTCACAGTTAAGTAAGATTACAGAGAAAAGCCTAGAATAATGGGGGAAGGCAGGAGGTGGTTGGAGGTGTCATTTAATGGCAGGTTACTCTCTGGTCAGCTGCTCTTTCTGCCTCCCTCATCCTGTTGCCCTGGCTTTTGTTTCTATTACTGAGACATAGCCAAACAGGATATGACCGACAGGAAGTTGTTCTAGTGCAAAAATAACTGATGTCTCATTCTGGAATATTATGGAGGGGCCCTTTACTTATGGTGTGAGCAATAAGGACTTAGGTTTTCAGAATATTTTGTATATTCTTGGAACTTATGTTTGTACATTTAGTACTGAACATCTTATCGTTTTCATATTAAGGGACACCCTGTATCTATTCTGACCGGTTCTTTTCCTCCTATTGTCTAATATGGAACCAAACAATTTTTGTTGTAAATGCAGCAGGATATATAGCATCAGTCTTATAAATATTTTTATTAAATACACAAACTGTTGTTCAAGTTAGTTAATTGATTTCTTCCCTAGAAAGAAAGTCAAGGGCTAACATGATCAGGTTGTTAATCCCATTACTTAGTTATTTAATTTCTCTGGTAACATTCATCTTAGGTGACATTGGAACATATATATCACCTCCTTGTGTAAAGATAGTCTGAAGAAAACCCTCGTGCTCCCACCTTATATTTTCTTTCACTGCTTTTCGGTTTTTGAGCTTTTTTTGTACTCAAAGAACAGCAGGTCACTCTTAATTTGGTCTCCCCCTGTGGTTCTGAAACAGAAGCAGAGTGTCTTGTTAATCCCACATTGCTCATATCCTATTACCTTATAACTTCTTTTTAAGCAAATGAACCTCTCTTTCCAGATAAGTCTTCCACAGTTGAACACAGGAGAAAGTTTGGTGTCTTAAACTTTATAGTCTTATTGAGGTTGGGGAACTCGTTGGAACCCAAATGGTTTCATAGACACCTTTTCTGATTTTTTAAGCCAAGTCTTTAATAAGAGCTTCTTTCCCTATATCCCAGTCCAGAAAACGATATCATTGCATTACAGTGCAAAGGAACTGGCTGGGGTTGTGTTTGTGAGGTCATCCAGTGTTCCATTTCTGGGCCTCCTTAGTAATGCTTTATTAAGCTTTGTGACACAGAGGGTGAGATGGTGGTTCAGGAGAGTTAGATACCTTGGAAGTCATGGAAATAGATCACAATAGTCTTTTTAAATTAAAGAATATATTATATATTCTGGCCTCAAAGGATTATGCTAAATCTTCCTATTCCAACCCATTCTGTTTAAATTGACTCAATAGGCAACCCAATATTTTTCTGGTAATTCATCCTGAAAATAAGATGCTATTGGCTGTAGTTGTTGTTGGGTTGTTTTGTCTGCTCACAAATAAACTTAAGACACAGAGTACACCTAAAGCCGACAGCAGACTTTCTGGAAACTCTTGAATATTTGGTCCATAGTTACTTCTTAAGACAAAGAGGAAAACC